AGAGAGAGAGAGAGAGACGAAGAGAGAGAGAGAGACGAAGAGAGAGAGAGAGAGAAAGAGAGAGAGGGAGAGAGAAATGAATGGACAAAGAGCCAACGGGACAAACGCCGAGAGGATCAAGAAAGACCACGCACCGAACTCGGCCATTTGCCGCAGGGTGACGCTGCGCTGGGGGAAGGAGGCATAGTGGCGGATCTTGTCGGCCAGGACCGGGTCGATGTCCGCCAGGCGGAGGGCGCGCAGGCGGCGGCGGATCCGGCGGACGGCCTTCTCCGGGTCGACATCGCCCTGGATGAAGGTGACGTCCGAGTCGGACTCCGAGTCGGAGGCACTGTCCGGCGTGGCAGACGAAGCCCCGCCGCCGAGGGAGGCCCCATAGCCGCCACCGTAGACGTGCAACGGCGAGGGCGACACCGACCAGGCGCGGTTGCCGAAGTGCGGCATCTGCTTGGCATTGGTGACCTCCTGGTGGCCGGTGACCACCGAGTGGGCGGATGCCGGGCGCCGGTGGGGGGTGACGCCGGCGGCGGCCGCCGCCGCAGCGGCCGCCGGCCCGGCGAAGCTCACCCCATGCGAGCGCAGGCGACTGGCCACGCCGACCGGGTCATCGGCCGACGATGAGAGCGGAAGCTCCAGGCGCGGGTGATTGGCGAAGGGGTCGGCCTTGACCAGGTGCTCGTACTTGTCGTGCGGGTCGGTGGGCACATAGAGCGTCGGGTCGGAGGCCAGGTCCTCGGGGCCGGAGGAGTCGGCGCTCGAGGAGCCGGAGGAGTCGGCGGAGGAATGTGAAGATGAGGACGAAGCGGGCCCCTGGCGGGTGGTGGTGGACCGCCCCTCAATCGGGGCGGCCACACAGGGGGCCGGAATGGTGTCGACCGGCAGGACGGCCCCGACCTTGGGGGACGAGGCGGTGGCCGCCGAGTAGGGCCGGGCGCCGGGGCGACTGGCCTCCGGGGCGAACTGCCCGAAGCCCGGCCACCGGTCCAGCAGGGTGTGATGCCGGCGGACGGGGAGACCGGCGAGCCCGGCCGGCCGGGGGTGCTCCCGGTCGGGCCCCTGGCAGAGGCCGAGGCTGAGGGCGGCCATTTGGCCAGCCGGCCGTATGGAGTCATAACGTCCGGGCCACACGCGCGAGGCGATTGAGGCAAGGTTTCGAGAGTACATGCTGGTCGGGGCGGGGGGTGGAGGGTGACAAGATCGCTTGCAGGTGGGCGCGCATCCGTGGGGGGGGGAGGCGCGGAGCAGGACAAGCAAGGCGCACGTGCAAGAGGGGGGGGGGGAGGCAGAGGAGAGGGGCGCGAAGGGACACTAGAGCAGACGTCCAGGGCTGGAATATGTGCAAGGACGGGCTAAGGTGGGGGTCAGGGGGGGGAGGGAGGGGTGGTGCAGCGGTGCGAGCAAGGGCCCCGGGGGTCACGCCCGCCTTTCTTCTTATATTCCCCTCGCGGCGGGCGGGGGTGGCCGGAGTCAAGCAGGCGCCCGTGCGGGCGAGGCGCCGGGAGGGGCCACCCCCGGGACCTGCGACCCCCGTACACAACACACACACACAGGCCATAGAGGCGAGGCCCTCGCGTAATTGCCCTCGGGTGACCCCGTGCCCCGGTGCTAGCCCCCCCCCCCCCCCCGGGCGGGGAGGCCGGAGATCAGGAATGTACACCAGATTGGGCCGATCGAGCGGTCAGGCGGGCATCATCGACGGGCGCCAGTCATGGCTCGGGGGCGCGGTGTTCGCGCGATCTCGAGGGGGTTCCGGCGGCGCGCGCCGGTCCGGACCCCACAATCGCGCCGCCCCCGGACCATTGTCACACCGGCCGGGGGATGGGAACATCTCCAAACAGCCGGCCTGAGAGGGGCCCGGCGCAGCAGCCCTCTGTCCCCCTCCACTGCGGATGGGGACGCCCCCCCCCCCCCCCCAGGACGAGCCGAGGACACTGGCGGCCTGGTCCCGGGAGCGCCCGGGGCCGCGGTCGCACCTGGGGGAGATAGGCCGCTCGATCGGCATCATCGCACCGTTCACCTGTGGCCAACCATTGGGCTCCTCGTCCCTGGTTACCCGGGCCGCCCCCGCGGCGACATGGCACAGGTAACCCCCCTTTAACCGCCGGTCCGGGCAGAGGGCGCCGAGAACGGGCGACGGCCGGGGGGGGGGGGGGGGCACCGTACACTCGGGCAGGTGTGTATGGCTTATTCTTTATTCTTCTTCGGCCCCGCAGCCCCTGCGGTCGGTATCCCCCCTTCGCCTGGCGCGCGTGAAGCTAACCAGGGGCAGGGGCGGGCCGGACGCCGGGGCGCAAGTCATGGGACGGGGTGGACGGACGACCGGCGGGCGCGTTCCTGTTTGATCATGTGATGGGGTCACACGAAATCCGGAAGCTCCATCTCCCCGGCGTCGGTCGACATCGAACGCTCGGAGTTCTCGCGGCTTGTGCGCGCTTCGCGATCGAGCCCCAGCCGGTCGTAGCACCGGGCCAGAGCCTCCCAGAGCCGCGGATCGCGACCTCTGTGGCCAGAGAGCGGGTATGCACATGTGCGTGCGGGTGCGGGTGCGTGTGTGTGTGCGGGTGCGTGTGTGTGTGCGGGTGCGGGTGCGGGTGCGTGTG